AAAGTTTTTTTCTTTCCTTTTTCACCCCAATTTCAGCTGTGCTGTGAGACAGTAACACAAGGGTTACTTGGCCACATCTGGTATCTCTTTTAAGGAACAGTGCCTTATGGAGCCCATATGTAACTGTGCTCCTATGCAGGGAGAGATCCCAGGTAGGCACTGGACTCCCAGGGAACAAGAGCAAGGCAGGAAGTCGAGCCCATTTTCCTGTGTAGGGACTCTCCTTTGATGGCTGTGCTTTGACTTTAGAATTTGATATTATAAAGGAACAAATGGCTTCCTTACAGGTGTTTGAAGCTATGCATCAAGACTCCTTTTCTCATCTCTGGAACACCCTACACTTCTTTCACATCTTCTCCTGTACAGGAAATGCATCTTCAGTTCTTAAACTTTTTATAACTGTAAGATTTCCAAATCATTTATTGTATTGATTAGTTTCTTTAGGAAATTAGCCTGACAGCTGTGATTTTTTAATACTGAGGAATGGAATCCAGAGGCACTCTCTAGCTGAACTACATCCCTAGCCCTTTGTATTTTTTTTTATTTTGAAACAGTTTGTAAGTGTTGAACTTAGGATCCTCCTACCTTAGCTCCAGTGCAATTGAGTTTCCAGGCTTGTAATGCCATGCCCAGCATGACACCTGTAATTTTTACATGGCTCATATAAGAAATTTCTGAATCACAATATATTTTGGCAGACAAGCCCAGACTGTAGGTACTTACTAGACCCTATTTATTGGACACTTCATCAAGGTTCAGAGTTGAGCTGGTGAAGTGATGTCTCTGTTCAGGCTACATTGGAACACTTTTTGTTTACACGTGTGCCCTGAGACCTCTGAGTGGTGACTCATGCTGCACCCTCTGCCCAATATGTATTTTAATATGTAAAAAGAGTTTGCACATTTATAAAAATATTTAGTAAACATCATCTGGGAATCTAAGAAATGGTAATGCCATCTCAGCTACTGTTTCTAAGTTAGAGATGTTGGTGTTTTCTTTGAATTCATTTAATTCACTTTACAAATAACTTACTGAGTGTCCACCATAAGTCAGAGGGTCTGTGTTACTTGACTCAGGAAATACAGAATGAATGTGACACAGCTTTTGTCCTCAGTAAACGTGTAGACTCTTAAGGAAATTGCACATCTACCTGCCCAACGTAAATTCCATAAGAGAGAACTGCATCTCATAGGGAGGAATAAGGAAGATATCTTCAAGTTATAAAAATTTTATTAGGATAAGATTACAGACACAGATTGTGTTTATTGTAGTCTTTCCAGTGATAGGAAGTAGAGATGTGCTTGTCCTGCTTCAATGAGTGAGGTTTGTTGAATGCACCACAGGAAGTGGGAAGGACAGGAAATCAGTCTCAGCAGCCACCCAGGGAGGCCTCATGGAGAAACAGATAGTTAGTTCTCTAGTAGTGTGAGAGCCCCTCTGTAATCTCACCACAAGTCAATGCCTATTTCTTTCTCCAGTGATCTTCCCTGTGGACACTCAGCTCCTCTCTGTCTTTCTCTCAATGGCAAAGGCAGCATGTATATGTGCCCCCATTGCACTTCTCAGGAGAGAAAAATCTGTTTTGGCTAATCTACATTCAACAATGAGCACCTCTGCTGGGCAAAGCTCATGGCAGCTGCCTCTTAGGCAGTTTGCCAACGTGCCAACCAGAGGATACATGTTTTTTGGCCTTTCCTGATTCGATAAATTGTGTACAGGACAAAACCATGGGTCACTTGGTATAGAAGAGTGTATTTCAGACTTCAGCATGCATATGAATCCCCTGAGGACCTTGTGGAAAAGTGCACTCTTGATTCAATGGTTCTAGGGTTTCAGGAATTCTCTGTTTCTAACAAGCTCTTAAGCAATGCTGATGATGCCTCTTCTCCTGCTTCTGTATGAATATGACTATGCAGAAGGCAAGGCACTCCATGTGGCAGACTTGTGGTTGTGAGGTGGCATTTCATGAGGGGAATAACTGTGAATAAAAGCGTGGAGGAAGGTGTGGTGTTGAGGTCTATATGTGTTTACATAAAGCCAATTTTGAATATAGTTAAGGTCAATAAGGCATCTTTAGACCAAAAAGTCAGTATTGAAGCAATTCAGATGTAGTTTCTAAATACCAATGTTGTTTATGTTGGCAGTTAGTCTTTTCATAATTTTAATCCAAAGCATGGTAAGCAGCTGAGTATGAATTTTCCTTATTCATATTCACTTGAGAGCTTGCTGCATGACTCCTGTCAGTTTGTCACTAGTTCTGTTTTGTTGGTGAGAAGGGTGGTAGGACATGCAGTAGGACTTATTTATCACAAGCAGTTGAGAGCCACCATACCTGGTTTAGACACCAAGCATCAGATTCCTTCATTCTGGTACCTTGGGAGAATTGCACACTTCTCATTATCTTTGTTGGAGATCCAAAGATGTGAGTTCAACATTTGTTCACAAGGATCCTTAAACCATAATAATGTCTGTTGTCCATTTCAAAGTTTTATTTCTATTCATTTCATAAATAAAATCTAAGACTGATTAAAAAACCAAAGAGGCATTTTGCACTTTTATTTAATGATACTAGAGCCCAGCAATTTCAAATCATGGATTATATCTAATAGGAGAGAACTGAATTAAGTATTCAAGTCCTCCTGACATATTGGTAGGTACAAGAGGAAAAGTGATGTCATTTTTTTCTTTGCATTTCATTCACTGTCTTCAGAAGGAAGGCTCCATTGATAGTAACATCTGTTCTTCAGTGTTCAATGACATAAGGGAATAAACATAATATTTTATTTTCTGAAACACCCATTTCAACTCATTTTTCTTTGAAAAATGACTTATTTTAATATTCGTGGTAAAAAAGGCAAAAACAGTTATTTTAAATAACTGAATCATGAGATCTTTTTTTTTCATCCAAGGAAACTTCCAATTTATATGAAAATCTTGAAAAGGATTTTCATAGTTCACCTTTCATTGGGATTCATGTAGAATTTTGAATTACTGGATAGTTTAACCACTTAACAATCTTTGACTACTATGTTTTAAGTTGTCAGTTATTAAAGAAGGAACACTGCTGAGTGTGAGCAAGTGTTTCTGCACAGTTAGAAAGTGCTGACTTTGGAGTCAGACAAACGTATATTTAAATTTCTTCTTAACACATACCTGCTATGTTACCTTCATACTTACTTTGTAGGATTATCTTGAAGATAAAAATAAGTAATGCATAATATTCCCATTTAACAGAATTTTTTTAAAAAGACATGAAGATTTTTTTTAATTTAATGACTAAATTCTATTGTTTTGTCCAAAGTTAAAAACAGAAGTACTTTTGCATTTTCACATTTGTGTAGGAAAGCATTATTTATTCTTGACGTAAGTGAAAACTTCAGTGTTTTGAGTTATAAACAGAAGAGCTGTGATTGTAATTGCCAGTTAACATATGTAGTGGAATCTCCATTATCAAAACGTGGTGATCCAAAGAAGTAAGTGGTGATATTGTGCACAGTTTACCAAAAGAAATTCGAATTGGTCTTCAAAACATTAGTACATTCACCCATGCTGCAGTGTCCTCATATGCAGGAGCCTAGAGAAGAAAAGTTACAAATGTCATTCAAAGTGATTCATTTTAATCACTTTAATTCATTCATTCAAAGTGATAATTCATTTTAATCAAATGGGGCTGGGGAAAGTCCAGTATATCTATATGACTTTAGAGAGTGAGGACTATAATACTCTGTGAGGGTGGCATACTCCACTGCCATTCATGGTAAAGGAAGGCAGATAAAACATTTCCATGTCAAGTGGAAGACAAATATTTTCAATGAACATGTACACAGATGCTCATATATACCTCCACATAGTGAAAATATGAAGACCTCTTTTTTATTTATATATGACAGTAGAATGCATTACAATTCTTATTACACATATATAGCACAGTTTTTCATCTCTGTATACGTAGTATATGCACACCAATTCGTGTCTTCATACCTGTACTTTGGGTAATAATGATCATCATATTCCACCATATTAATAATTCCATGCCACCTCCCTTCCCCTCCAAACCCTCTGTCCTATTAGAAGTTTGTCTATTCCTCCCATGCTCTCACTCCCTATCTCACTATTAATCAGCCTCCTTATATCAGAGAAAACATTCAGCATTTGGTTTTGGGGGATTGGCTAACTTCACTTAGCATTATCTTCTCTAACTCCATCCATTTACCTGCAGATGCCATTATTTTATTCTCTTTTATTGCTGAATAATATTCCATTGGTATGTATGCTACATTTTTTTTTATCCATTCATCTGTTGAAGAGCATATAGTTTGGTTCCACAGTTTAGCTATTGTGAATTGTGCTGCTATAGACATTGATATGGCATCAAGACCTCATTTTGAAGGTTTCCTCAATACAAGCCACAGGGTCACTATATTGATACATTTCTAATTATTTTATTCTTTGCATTATTTTTATAGCTAGCCTTCCTTGTATTGGTAGCAAACCAAGGGTACCCATTATTTTGGATGCTGCTTCACAGCAGATGGTTAGTATAGCAGTGTATTGGTTAGTGTGTTTTTCATGTGATGAAGTATCTGTGGGGCTTTGATTTCATAAAGTGAAGCAAGTCATTGTTATGAAGAGCAATGAAAAACCTGGGAAATTGATGGAAGGGAAAAGTGAGTTAAAGGGAGCAGAAGTGTCTGGATCTGGGGCATTGAGAACCATCAGGTTTTACTCAGTGCTTCCATCTGGAGATGTTCATAAAGGCAATTTGATTTCTAGAACTTCCCAAGTGTTGAATTCCAGTGTGGTCTATGAACAGCCACATCATCTTTGCTAAAGCAATTCATTCCTCTTTTAATAACAGAATATTCATGTCTTATTCCATCTCTGATCTTGTTGAGAGGGAGGCATTTTAAATTGTAACACTTTTGCTAACTTCCCAAGCATCTCCATTCTTGTTCTTTCAGTCTGTCCACTAGTACTTAATATTATTTTTCTCTGCACAGATCCAGTGCCCCACTTGCCAATTCATCTGGTGTTTCAAGTGCCACTCTCCTTGGCATGAAGGTGTTAACTGCAAGGAGTACAAAAAAGGAGACAAACTGTTGCGTCACTGGGCCAGCGAGATCGAGCATGGGCAGAGGAATGCCCAGAAGTGTCCAAAGTGCAAGGTGAGATGACCTTTTGGAAGAAAGGGAAGAAATGTGTACGTCTGAATGTAATTGAATAATATCCACGATATTGAAATGAATCATATTTATAATTATCTGAACACCAGTATGGAGAAAGAGTATTTGCTGTTTCATTTTAGAAGAGAAATTATATCATGTCTTAAACTTAACATTTTATATATAAATAAGGTATATTCTTATGAGTTATTATACATTACAAAATTTAAGGAGACTACTTGAATTAATTTAAAACATCAAAATCTTTATTTTTTCTTTAAAAATTAAGAAGGAAAAGCTAGCTTGGAAATGATATAAACATATGATTTCTAGCTTGCCACACTACTGTAATCCCTACCCAATTAATTTTGCAGGCTTTGAATCCTTACTGTCCTTTGCTTTTCTTGTCCTTTGGCCATTGCATATCACTTTAGGATTACTTTAAATTGATCATTTCATTTCTTTGTATATCTCTTGAGGTAGAAACTAACACTCAAAATCAGGACTTATGGATTTTATGAATCCCACTTTAATTTCCCTCTTATAATCTTTCAAGTAATCAAGAGTTAATAGACATTTGAGCTGAAACCTGAATATGGAAAGTTAGCCATGCAAATAGCAAGGGAAGATCCTCCTACAGAGAGATCACCAAGTAAATGCAGCAAAAAAAAAAAAAAAAAAAAAACAAACAAACAAAAACAAAACAAAACAAAACGGTTCTTATAAGATAGGGATCTGTTCAAGTTTTTTTTTAACTTACTTTAGAAAATTTTATGTGTGTATATATGTATACTCTACCATATGTGGTTTTTATCTGTTGCCAAATTTACTTTTGGATATCATATCCAAATTGAGCTTAATTTTCTTTTAAGAATAACTCTGCAATTCCTTCTTTCCTGGAGACTTAGAACAGGTAAGTGAAATTCCCATTATCAGAAATACTTAAAATTTTAATAATTGTGAATCCAATTTGAAGTAGTAAAAGTATTTTATAAATCCTATTATTGAGAATAATACTAATATATGGATCTACTATTCCAAATTCACATACTGTTTTATATATACCGTAAGTAACATGTATAGCATGAAATGATAATGTTGTATTTTTGGCAATTGGAAGAAATTTTGAAATAGTTTAATTGAACCAGCTTTGTAAAAAGTGATGTAAAGAGATGTGTGTGAGCTAAAGCTTTGTCTGTTTTCCCTGTAGGAGGCAAATTCATTCAGTTATTTATTTATTTATTTATTTAGGTCTATTTCAGCTCAGTGCATCGATTGTTCAGTACCCTTATATTTTTCATCCCATTGCAAAACAATTTAAAAGGAGGACCTTTTTCCTTTTTTTCTTGTCTTTTGAGTTTATTTGAAGCTACTGCTCAGTTTTAAACCACAGGCTAGTGGGAATTTGAGTGCTGTTAAGTCATTCTACTTAGCACTTTGCTCATAAGTATACTTTATATCTCCCTGGAAAACTGTAAAAAAAAAACAATTGCCAGTCAGCCATTCTGGTACTGTTTTCTGAATGAACAATACTGCAGCATTATGCCTTGAGGAAATTCTGACTGAAATGAAGTCATACATAAAAACATACGCTTATGACTTCAATCCCTTGATCTAACATTAAAGCGACCCTCGTGTGTAAAAGAAAAAGCAATGAAACATAAGGAATTTTCTGAGCACACTAATAACCTCCCACAGTTTTGACAAATATAGATAATCAGTTAAAAGAAAGCCTGCATGCTGATTCCCTCTTGTAGAAATAGCTCCATGGTCTGATTACCTTTTAAATAAATGAAAGGAAAAGAGCCAGGGAATTCGTTTACATGACTACATTGTAGCTGAGAACTTGTTTTCTGGTCAAATTCACATTTATGAAATTTATATTCATCTAAGTCACGATTTATGACGTGTTTTGAGTGCAAACTTTTTTTTTTCTTTTAAGCGCAGCTTAAAAGATTTTGTTTATTCTGATTTTTGTTGTTTATTCTGATTTTTGTTGTTGGACCGTAAAATTTTGTTCCCCCCATGAAACATTTCTATATTTAGGATAGAAATTGATATAAAATTAATGAATTCATGTTTATTTTACTTGCTTAGGCTCTTTCCATAAATATATCTCTTAAAATTTATAAATATAAAAAAGGAAGATGGTAGGAGTGTTGGTAAAACAAAACTTTCATGTATTATCTTCAGATGGACAAAACCATTGTTATTTATTTTCATATAAATGCTTTTAATATTAATAATCAAATATATGTAAAATTTTGTTGTGAGCAAAGTATATTTATATTTTTGTACCCTGCTATAGGTATATTATGTTTTAAATTCAAAATTGTAATGGATTTTGATTTTAAAATAATCATTTTGTCTATAAAGGTTATAAAACATATGCTGGAAATTTGGGCAAAGAAGGAGAGTATTTAGTCCTGGACTTTAATCTACTCACTGTGTCAAATGGGGTTTTTGCCCTATTGGAATTACTTTTTGTAGTGTTTTATCTAAAATATGCCAATAATTTGATACATTAGTTTCTTCACTTAACAGCCCAAACAATTCTAAAGCAATTTTCAAAACATTTCATTAACTGTGTAATATTTGCGTGAATATTTTACCTTTCTACACCACAGCTGATTTAGGTTTGGGTCTGTATATAATGTGTTGATGATATTTATCTTGAATGTATTTTTTTTCCATGTTTTGAACCTCTAAAACATACATAAAGGTAGAATTATTGGTTAAATATCAATGCTTTTAGTTTTGGGCATGTATTGCCAATTTGCTTTCCAAAAGAAATGAAACAATTTGTAATTCTATGAGAAAAATTTTGAGGATTTGTTTCTGGGTGAACACTTCTTTAATTCTTTTAATTTTAATAGTTTTAAAATGCATTGTTCTCACATTTTGCATTTTCTTATTTACTTATGAACTGAATATAAATATTCTTTTAAAATACAATATGTTTTGTAGTTTATAATACAACCTTTTTTAAAGTTTTCTGTTCATATCCTTTGCCTATTTTTGTGGCCTAGGTTGGAGCATAAATTTTATTATCAAATTATGTGAACTATTTATTTGAAAATGTTTTCTGGTGTATTTTATTTACATATTTTCATTTTTCTCAGATGATAGTGTTTTTTGTTCGTTTATTTCTTTTTTTTACTTGATAGTCCTTATTTCTAGGTTAATCCTTATCTTTAGGTTTACATATATATTTTTTAATTTTTTTCAAATTTTTCTTTTACCATATATACCTTTCTCTTACCCTTTGGACACATACATTTTTTTATATATTTACAAATCTTTCATACATATTTTTCTTCTAAACTTAATCATTTATTATTCATATGCTTGATTATAAAGGTCTGTTTACTTCCTGTCTTTAAGCCATTTGATTTCCAAATATTTGAACTCTTTAATTGGCCCATAATTTATTTTGGTGATCATTATACATTGAGTACTGAAACTAGTTTTTCCATCTTGGAATGGTTATTAAATAATTCTCCTACCAACTGATTTGTAATTTCTTTCTAAGCACATTTTAAGTTTTGATACATAAGAGTCTCTTTTCTTAGCTAATCTTACTGCTAATTTTTCATGAAATTTATGTATCCATACTGATGAGTTTTAAATGATTATGCCTTTGTAAAATCTGCCCATTTGGCTGGGGTTGTGACTCAGAGGTAGAGCATTCACCTAGCAGGCATGAGGCACTGGGTTTGATCCTCCACAACACATAAAGAATAAAGATATTGTGTTCACCTATAACTACAAAATAATTATTTACAAATTGCCCATTCAAGCAGAGTTTGATTATCTAAAAATTCATTTAATTGGTACTCTCAATAGAGTAATTCTTTTCTCTCCTTTACTTCTCCCATAATGAGATTTTTACCTTTTTCTCAAGTGGAAAGACCAATTTGATACTTGGTATAGTATTATGAAGAAATTGACTTGTGCTAAGAAGTCAAAATTATTATTTATAATTCATTTTTGACAGATAGTAAGTATTAAAAGTTTTCTCTCACATTTATTAGCAAGATACTTATTCATAAATGTGATTTTTTTCGTACTGAGGTGAACATATACAAACATTTCTGGAAGTTACCTATTTATAAAACATTTTATGAAAATTTTATGTTACTGTATTAAGATCAACTGTGGTTAGCATTTTATTTGAATGTCATTGCCTTCTAATACAGAATTTTGTTCAGTTATGAAACACCATTTGTTATCTTACAAATAATTTTTATAATATTCTGACTCTACAGAAAACCTGTGCTAATACTGAGTTTCTTTTTTACTTAGTTATCAACAAAACTAAATCTAGTTTATAAAATTTAATGTTTAAAATAAATTTAAAGAAAGTAAGGAAATTAAATTTTGTTGAAAATATGAAATATGTTCATTTTCATGCAAAAAATTCATTTTGAGACTATTTGATGAGATACTAAAATCTGAGTTATATGCACACCTAAAAATAACAGTAATATACAAGATAAAACAAATAAATACCATGTACGCAGCTTCACTCACACTTAAACTTTAGCTCTCAATTATTATTAAAGTTATTATTTGTTAGTAATTTTTTTTTGTACTGGACAGTGAATCCAGGGGCACTTAACCACTGAGCCATATCCCCATCCCTTTTAATATTTTAAAATTTAAGACAGGGTCTTACCAAGTTGCTTTGGGTCTCAATAAGTTGCTGAGGCTGGCTTTAAACTTGCAATCCTCCTGCCTCAGCCTCTCAAGCCACTGGAAATTTGGACATATGCCACCATGCCTGGTTGAATTTTTTTTAATTGTGGAGAATTCAATAATTTTTTTTAAATCATGGTAAAAATAATGTTATATAACTTATGCTTACTATTTTCAAATGCAAATATGGTTTTTAAAAATTTGTATTTCATTTGAAAATTTTAAAAAATTCCTCAACTAAAGTTCACAGTCATTACAATTGTCTTTTAAAAAAAATTATGTTTTGGGTCCTGGAGATTTAACCC